CCGGATACCCAAACTCTAATAACATCAGAGAAGAACCCAGTTGCGACCCAATAGGGCCGTAACAATCAGTCTCATATGGGGCACTGTGTCGAAGCTGTCTGACAGGCCTAGAAAATGCAGTTCGTCCACCCTTCTCTTTCTTGCATAATGTTTATCACCTGATCATAGAATTCTATTAACCCACTGAGGCGTGATTTGCCATCCCTGAACCCATGTTGGTTGTGTTACAAAGTTCCTTTCCTCCAGATGTGGAGTATTTTTAATAGTCCTAAAACAGTTGGTATTCTTTCTAAAATCATACAGAATATACCTCGCTCTGCCATGGCAATGCTTTTTTACTTTTCATCTATACTTATCTGAAATTGAAAAATTAACTCTCGAAAGTTAATTTTTGCATTTTTATTTATGGTCTGATGCCTAGAAGCATTTCGTAAGAGACTTCTCACCTTTTCAAAAACAGATTTTTATGTACTCCGTTTCATGCTTATATATGTTTGTGGGCGAGGTGGTATGACATAAATGTTTTGGGTGGGGTGATAAAACACGAACCAATGGGTAATAATGGAGTAAAGATGATTTTACATAGTAAGAACACAAACCAATATGTAATAATGGAGTAAAGATAATTTCACATAGAACACGAACCAATGGGTATTAATGGGGTAATGGGGTAAGGATAATTTTTCATACTCAGAACATTAATTATTGCGTATTTTCTCTTCTTGCTTCTATGTTGGTTTTGGTTGGTTCTTGAAGTGGGTAGAATATAGTTATGTGTTAATTGCCTGTTTCAACAGCCAATTGATATATAATAGGAAATCAGATTCTTTACTTTAAAAAGCATGACGAATTGACTACTTGTCGTATTCATCATCAGATCGAAAAGAAAAACAGAAGTCACAATAAAATAAGTAGAAAACATAGAACTCATACTGAACAAAATTACCTATCAGGAGAAGAGAGATATCCAACAACACTGGTTATATAACAAAACACTTAAGCACTTGAAGTGATCAAACCGGATAAAACTTTATAACTATCACATGGATAACAAAACGTAATTCAAAAAATAATAATAACAAATTTCTGTTGCTCAGCAACGCTTGGGGTGTTGCTGAGCCACAGCAACCCTCCTCCATCCCACTGTCCTCCCAACCATTCCCCACTCCCTCGTCCCCTCATCCTCCCCACCGTTCCCCCATCCCCTAGTCCTCCCCACCATTCCCCTCTCCCCATCCCCTCGTCCTCCCCACCATCCCCCACTCCTCCGTCCTCCCCACCATCCCCCACTCCTCCGTCCTCCCCACCATTCCCCACTCCTCCGTCCTCCCCACCATTCCCCACTCCTCCGTCCTCCCCACCATCCCCCACTCCTCCGTCCTCCCCACCATTCCCCACTCCTCCATCCTCCCCACCATTCCCCACTCCCCCATCCCCTCGTCCTCCCCTCTGTCCCCCACTCCCCCATCCTCTTGTTCTCCCCACCATTCCCCCCTCCCCTGTCCCCTCGTCCTCAACAACATTCCCACATGTGAAAAACACAGTTTTTCAAAAAAACATGTTTTTACCTGTCACAGGTGTGACATCTATATAGTAGTAGGTACATACAAACACATGCGTATTCAAATGCAACATTGTGTAAAAAATTCAAAGCACTCGGTGAAGAGCTTTCGGAAACATTGAAATGGAATTGCAAAATATTTAGTACAGCGTGTGTTACATTTACGTCAAACAGATGGCTCTGTTTAAAAGCAAAAATATGTTTTTACCTGTCACAGGTGTGGCATCAATATACTAGGTATATAAAAACACACGCCTATTCGAATGGAACGTTGAGTCAAAATTTCAAAGCAATAGGTGAAGAACTTTCGGAGATTAGCAATTTTGAACAAACGAACATTTACACTTTTATTTATAAAGATTATTATTATTATGTTCTAATAGGTTTTCCTCACGATCTTCTGCATCACCTTACATAGTATACAAGTATGAGACACTGACCCTGCAGTTCTTGTGCGCCACACTATGGCGCAGACACCTTGCATGCCACACCCTGAGGCAGACACCTTGCATGCCACACCCTGAGGCAGACACCTTGCATGCCACACCCTGACCCAGACACCTTGCATGCCACACCCTGAGGCAGACAACTTGCATGCCACACCCTGAGGCAGACACCTTGCATGCCACACCCTGAGGCAGACACCTTGCATGCCACACCCTGACCCAGACACCTTGCATGCCACACCCTGAGGCAGACAACTTGCATGCCACACCCTGACCCAGACACCTTGCATGCCACACCCTGAGGCAGACAACTTGCATGCCACACCCTGACACAGACACCTTGCATGCCACACCCTGAGGCAGACAACTTGCATGCCACACCCTACCGCAGACATCATGCATGCCACACCCTGACACCTTGCATGCCACACCCTGACCCAGACACCTTGCATGCCACATCCTGACCCAGACACCTTGCATGCCACACCCTGAGGCAGACACCTTGCATGCCACACCCTGACCCAGACACCTTGCATGCCACACCCTGACCCAGACACCTTGCATGCCACACCCTGAGGCAGACACCTTGCATGCCACACCCTGACCCAGACACCTTGCATGCCACACCCTGAGGCAGACACCTTGCATGCCACACCCTAACCCAGACACCTTGCATGCCACACCCTAACCCAGACACCTTGCATGCCACACCCTGACCCAGACACCTTGCATGCCACACCCTGAGGCAGACACCTTCCATGCCACATCCTGAGGCAGACACCTTGTATGCCACACCCTGACGCAGACATCATGCATGCCACACCCTACCGCAGACAACGTTTCTCCCCTCTCCGATAAAGTCATCAATCCCAGGCTGCCGTAACGGTGCCATGACTGGCGATCAAGAGGAAGCCGGCACTGAAAGATACATCACCAGCGCAGCAAAGTGCCGATCCAAGAGCCACAACACCACAACACTCCTCTACTACAACAATGAAATTTTTACAACTCGTGGGCTGATTGTCCTCCTGCGTGAGGCAACTGGAGCAATTTCTGGTGTACTGCCCGCGGGTAATGGTTCCTCAGGCCCGGGGCGAGGATTGGGGACGACAAAGCCAGCAAACTCTGGCGAGTCAGCAATTGATAGATAACCACTGCCAGCTGGGCACTGTTAGTAAGCCAGCATCCATTTTCAGTGAGCAGCCGTCTGTCAGCCACCGTCAGCACGTCAACGTCAGCGAACCAGTGTCAGCGAGCCAGGGTCAGCGAGCCAGTATCAGCGAGACAGTGTCAGCATGACTCGGGACACACTCCCAAAAATGACCACAATATTTCTGTATCCTGTGTCTTGCTGACCCAACCACAAATATCTTATAAACCTCGACCACCCGAGGGGGCCGGCGGGCCACCCCCGAGGGGGCCGGCGGGCCACCCCCTAGGGGGCCGGCGGGCCACCCCCTAGGGGGCCGGCGGGCCACCCCCTAGGGGGCCGGCGGGCCACCCCCGAGGGGGCCGGCGGGCCACCCCCGAGGGGACCGGCGGGCCACCCCCGAGGGGACCGGCGGGCCACCCCCGAGGGGCCGGCGGGCCACCCCCGAGGGGACCGGCGGGCCACCCCCGAGGGGGCCGGCGGGCCACCCCCGAGGGGGCCGGCGGGCCACCCCCGAGGGGGCCGGCGGGCCACCCCCGAGGGGACCGGCGGGCCACCCCCCAGGGGACCGGCGGGCCACCCCCCGAGGGCCCGGCGGGCCACCCCCGAGGGCCCGGCGGGCCACCCGGTGAGCCCCACCAGGTATTATATTCGCCTCTCCTCCTCCTCCAACACTATATATATCTTTCAGCCCAGGAGAAATATTCTATATTTGGAGAAATATTAAATAATACTTTTTGTGGAGATTTCTCATTTTTGTCTAAAATTTAGCCTTAAGTGTCTGATGCTCGTAATTTTGCACTCTAACCAGGGTGAAATATTTTTTTTGACAACCTAGGTGTATTTTCAAAATGAAGTTATTTACTTATAAAATACTTGCATAATAAACTTGCTAAACGCGGAAATAAGAAAACTAATACAGAGTACCAAATCATACTGGGATTATACACAGTCGTGGATATATGGAATAGTGACGATCTAAGCGATCATTAGGTTAGGTTAGGTCATCAGATCTTTCAAATCCGGACGGCATACTAACCTAATGGTAAGAGATCAACTTTATGAACATAAATGTCCAACACTTTCCCCCAAAGCATGGTCGTAGTGGCTAATATAAACATAACAAGAGAAACATTAGTCTTGTACAGCCTCTATGAGACAGCCAAATCTACTGGACGGTAATTCTTTTAAGAGCAGAACAAGAGATACTGAACACATCTCACTTCACCCTAATTTTTCAGGAATAAATTATCAGGAAATAAGTCTGTCTATTTGACGGTTGGTCGTAGACCGGGTATGATGTGCATCGAGCAGTTACTGGACACATGTTCACACACACTGCCTACATGTGTCACCAGAAGGTTGGGCTCAGAACACAATTCTGTCTAATCACTGTTTTTCTTGTCTTAATAGAAATGCTTTATTATTTAAATGAATGCCAAATTATGTGGACTTTCTGTTGCCCATTTCATATCCACTGACTTCTTGTTGGGGTCACACACACTTCCTCTGACAGACATTGAGACATTCTCTTGTATTGATAAAAAATAAAAAGGCACTGTGGTGCCCGGGTCTGTCTGCCTCTGCTCCCCTCCTCCCTGTCCCTCTCACCCCCTCTCCACCACTCCTCACTTCTCTCTCTCTCTCTCTTGCTCCTCTCCTTTTCTCTTCTTACCCCCTTCTACTTCCGTTTTCCCTTTGCTCTGTTCCTTCCCCTTCTTCCCTTCTTCTTCCGGGCCCCTTCTTCCCCCTTACTCCTCCATATTCTCCTATCCTGTCACTCGTGTTGTGTTCCGTTTAGTAGGTCTTGTCTGTTCTTGGGGGTTATCTTAGTTTGTGCGGAATGAAGAGTCTCCTCTGGGTACCCTCTGTTCCTGAAATGAGTCCACAAGTCTTCCAAAGCTTCCTGAAGTTTGTCGTTACTGCTGATGACCCGCTTTGTAAGTATACCCATGAGGAGTAAGGAAGCGATTTGTTGAGCGATAGAGGATGCCTCGATGAGAAATGAGGGTATGAGTGTAGATTTGTTGGCTTGTAGTAAGTTGTGGCCTGTAGGCTTCTACTCGATTCTTCAATGTAAACTCTGGAGTCCAAGAAGGAAATAGATTCATCCATTTCCGTGGAAAAATTACATGTTTTCGTGTACCATATTAGCCCAGTTGAAGAGTTCCAATCCTCCAGTCATCACTCCGAAAATATCACCTATTTAGTGTAAGTAGATGACTAGACCCAAGCTTCGCTGTATCCTGGCTGATTCGAACACTGTGTGGATAAAAATCTCAGCAATAGCCACACCACTGGATGCTCCTATAACTGCACCCCTTAAGTTGTCGAAAAGTTCTGTTATCAAAGGTTAGGAGGGGTCCCTCATCACATGGAGGATGGCTTTCTCTAAGAGTTCCTTGGTTCCCGGACCAAGGAACCTGAAGATGCCTGCTTGTCTGAGATCCTGCTTGAGCCCATGTTGGTGTCAAAAACTTCTGCTACTCTCCTGGCTGCTTCTCCCTGTAGTATGCTAAGGTAAAGAGAGACTACATCTAAGGAAAACAAGGTTGCCCCCTTCGGTATGGGCCCAATAACGGAGTGGTGCCTCCTTAAAAAATGCGTCGTATCTTTCAAGGGTTCTGGGGGAATAAATCCACAAGGGCCGTAATGAGGGTTCGAACTTACGTTCACGAAGATCACAGACGCGCCTTAATCGACTGAGCTACGACATGGTAAAAGAATTACAACCAGGATTGGTACTGCCCTCACACGGATCCCGTAGTCTCTCCGAGATACAAACCGGGGTTTTACTCAATTACCCCATGCACTCGGGCTCTGTCAAATTCAGAGACAAAGGCCAAGACTCTGTCTCTTGCCTCTGCTTTAATTAGGCCCCACTGCCTCCGGACCTGTCATCTTTATTCCTGTAGAATTTGAGAACTGGTCTATTGCTACTGGCTCCAGAGTTGTAAAGTGCCACTTGCCGAGTCTGTATTTGTATGGATTATTATCTTGTAAAAAAAATTGTCTGGGCATTTCCGAGTTCCGATTTTCACTTTTCCACACCAGCACTGTACTCCGTTTGTCAGCTTGTTTGATCATAATATTCTTTCTATTTCTTAAACATGTTAGTGCCATTTGTTCCTCCTTTGTTAATTTATATGGGTTCTTTTTTTTTCCCTTTTTCTCTCATTGTATTCCTTATGTGTAATTTTCTCATGTATTCCTGTCATTTTAAGATCAGGTGTTTTTTGCTCACCTTGGTGAAGATATCTGTAGGAGAGTGAAAAGTTACTGTGGCCGGGGGTGTGCGGGTCTCCCAGCTATTCGTCCTGGCGTTTAATGTAATACTCTCCTACACGTTATTATTTTATTTTCTAACTTATCATAGACCGTGTATATTGCTGCTTGGCGTTTGGCCATCGCTGGGGTCCTTAGATGACTGAAAGTCCTTTTCCTAAAACTGGTTTCTCTGTCCGCTTGAGTCCGATCTCTGATAGCACCGTTTCCTTTAATTGCCTCTCCTTCCGTTGTTGTTCCTCCAGCCGTTCAATTCTCCTGACCGAGGTCCTCGGTCTTGGTAGCGTCTTCTACTCTGTCGTTGCCTGTTGTAGCCTCGTCCGTTTGGTCCTAACTGTAGAGAGCCTATTGGCCCATACGGTGCCTTGAAGTGGCTAGAATATAGTTATGCATTCTACCCACTTCAAGACACCATATGGGCCAATAGCCTCTCTGCAGTTACTTCCATTCTCATGTACCCACCTCATCCAATCCCCACCTCACCCAAAACCAATAAAAAGTAAGAGTTATGTCAAATGTTTCATACAGTGTATCAAGTGTATCATAAGTTGAGTGTAAAAAAGTCTTTGAGAATGTAAGAAGCCCTTACGAAACGCTTCTAGGCGTCAGATCATTAATCAAAATGAATTTTGGAGAATTGGTATTTCCATTACCACCGACAGTGAAGAAAAACATAAGAAATATTGAAAAAATTCGTGTTAGAATTATTAATCTAACCTTTTCGGTCATATTCAACAATAAATATATATATATATATATATATATATATATATATATATATATATATATATATATATATATATATATATATATATATATACACTCTTCCACCAAATAAATTTCCCAATCAGCTTTCGTTCGCATTTTCTCTACACTTTCATGAAGTTAAAACTGTTTATGGTTTATGGTTAATTTAGCTTCTTCAGCATTTTAATCTTGGGGCCATTTTTGCCTGGCGGGCCATTTGCATAATGTTTACAGTCAGACGACCAACTCCCTCATGACTCAGTCACAAGACCTTTTTTACACTCACTCTAAAAGCTTTTTTGGAAAGCATCCGTATCTACAGATTTTTTTGTTACTGAATTTCTAATCGGTACCTGCAACATGTGTGTCATATGTCTGGGTCTGTTATTTGTCTCTTACCCATTCTCTCTTTCTTCCTCTCTCCCACTATCACTCCTCTCCCTCTCCTTTCTCCGTCATTATTTTCTCCGCTCTCTCTCTCTATCTTTCCCCACCCTCTTCTTCCCTTCAACATTCCCTCTGTCTTCCAACATCTATCCTTTCCCCTACTCCACTCTTCTCCAAGACTTTAAATGTTAAATTTAAAGTCTGAAGATCGATTTAATGTAAATAATAATTCGCTCACAAACACTAATTCATTATACAAGCACAATTGTAATGAGGAACAGATGAAGAAAAAGTATTAAGGTCGTAAGGAGTGGAATACTTTCTCGCTTCGAAGCGAAGGAACCAGACTCGTTAAATACGGCAGAAAACTTTCTTAATTACTCATTAAACTTTTCCAGAAAAACGCCGAGCAAATTTCCAAATATGTGAACAAAATAGAAAGTGTCTCTGTTACGGTGACGCACTTTTGTGGTCCTCGGGGACTGACTCTCACACTCCACAATCACTAAGAGGTCAGCCTCGAACACTCCACACTCACTGACTGTAGGGATTCGAGTCATCAGTAAACTGCATCACACAATCTGTGGTCATAAAGTGACTGCTGCCAAGAATCTTAAGTTAAAAAAAACTAATTCTAACAATCAGCGGTTAAAAAGAGGATACCTCTCACAATCTGGAGTCACCAAAAACTTGCGTTTACACTCCAGTCTCTTCTAGTGACTGCTTCTAACAATCCAGGTCACCAGGAGACAACCACTAACACTCCAGGTCACCAGGAGACAACCACCATTCACAACAACAATGTTCACAAGAGCAATTCGGGAACGATGGTGTGGTTGTTATCTGTCATTCAGTGGTAACAAATGGTCTGAGCCAAGTGGGTAGTGGGTCAGGGGTCAAGTGGACGGGGGTCAGGGGTCAAGTGGACGGGGGTCAGGTGGACGGGGGTCAGGTGGACGGGGGTCAGGGGTCATGTGGACGGGGGTCAGGGGTCATGTGGACGGGGGTCAGGGGTCATGTGGACGGGGGTCAGGGGTCATGTGGATGGGGGACAGGGGTCGTGTGGACGGGGGTCATGTGGACAGGGGTCATGTGGACGGGGGTCAGGGGTCAGGTGGACGGGGTCAGGGGTCATGTGGACGGGGGTCAGGGGTCATGTGGATGGGGGTCAGGTGGACGGGGGTCAGGGGTCATGTGGACGGGGGTCAGGGGTCATGTGGACGGGGGTCAGGAGTCATGTGGACGGGGGTCAGGGTTCGTGAGGACGGGGGTCAAAGGTCAAGTGGACGGGGGTCAGGGGTCATGTGGACGGGGGTCAGGGGTCGTGTGGACGGGGGTCATGTGGACAGGGGTCATGTGGACGGGGGTCAGGGATCAGGTGGATGGGGGTCAGGGGTCATGTGGACGGGGGTCAGGGGTCATGTGGACGGGGGTCAGGGGTCACGTGGACAGGGTCAGGGGTCAAGTGGACTTGGTCAGGGGTCATGTGGACGGGGTCAGGGGTCATGTGGACGGGGGTCAGGGGTCATGTGGACGGGGGTCATGGGTCATGTGGACGGGGGTCCGGGGTCAAGTGGACAGGGTCCGGGGTCAAGTGGACGGGGTCAGGGGTCATGTGGACAGGGTCATGTGGACAGGATCAGGGGTCAAGTGGACGGGGTCTGGGGTCATGTGGACGGGGTCATGTGAACGGGGGTCCGGGGTCACGTGGACAGGATCAGGGGTCAAGTGGACGGGGTCTGAGGTCATGTGGACGGGGTCAGGGGTCATGTGGACGGGGTCAGGGGTCATGTGGATGGGGGTCAGAGGTCATGTGGACGGGGGTCAGGGGTCATATTGACGGGGTCAGGGGTCATGTGGATGGGGGTCAGGGGTCAGGTGGACGGGGTTCAGGGGTCATGTGGACGGGGGTCAGGGGTCATATTGACGGGGTCAGGGGTCATGTGGATGGGGGTCAGGGGTCAGGTGGACGGGGTTCAGGGGTCATGTGGACGGGGGTCCGGGATCACGTGGACAGGGGTCAAGTGGACTTGGTCAGGGGTCATGTGGATGTAGTCATGTGGACGGGGTCAGGGGTCATGTGGACGGGGGTCAGGGGTCATATGTGTCATGTGGACGGGGGTCCGGGGTCAAGTGGACAGGGTCCGGGGTCAAGTGGACGGGGGTCAGGGGTCATGTGGACGGGGGTCAGGGGTCGTGTGGACGGGGGTCATGTGGACAGGGGTCATGTGGACGGGGGTCAGGGGTCAGGTAGACGGGGTCAGGGGTCATGTGGATGGGGTCAGGGGTCATGTGGACGGGGGTCAGGGGTCATGTGGACGGGGGTCCGTGGACAGGGTCAGGGGTCAAGTGGACTTGGTCAGGGGTCATGTGGATGTGGTCATGTGGACGGGCTCAGTGGTCATGTGGACGGGGGTCAGGGGTCATGTGGACGGGGGTCATGGGTCATGTGGACGGGGGTCCGGGGTCAAGTGGACAGGGTCCGGGGTCAAGTGGACGGGGTCATGTGGACAGGATCAGG